CATAGTGACCTGTACTTAATCCTTCGTAGCAGTTACACTGTATTATTATTGCCTGTAGTTTATCTCTGATTTAATCTACACAAACTAGACTTTTTAGGGGGGAAGGTGTATTGGGGATTGAGCCCAGGGCCTCACAGTGAACAACATCCTAACCTTTCTGTTTTTTTGTTTTTTTAATTTTTTTATAGTGAGACAGCATCTTGCAAACTTGCCCAGACTGGACTTGAACTTTCAGTTCCCCTTGTCGCAGCCTCTGTAGTAGCTGGGATTACAGCTATGTGCCACCACACCTGGTTCAGACTAGTGGTTCTTAACAGACATGGTAGTGATAAGGAATGGAGCTTATGCCTTTTAGAAAACCTTCCCATCCTCTTTTTTGGGTATATCATATATGCTACCATCACTGTTGCTGTTCTTCTTTGGCAAGCTCCCAGATTTGTCTAAACGCTTAGAAAATGGGGAACTGTATCTTATTTATCATTTTATCTCCAATGCTTAGCTTGTTTTCTTTTTTTTTGCCTCTGTGCCTAGTAACTACACAATAGGTATTTACTTCCTGTAGTAAAATGAAAAATTTAGAAGTGAGAGAGATGATTTTTGACTTTTGGAAGAGCATTGAAGACTTCATTTAAACAGTCACTTAAAAGGAGATATGAATAACTGGTTTTATGGAAGTAGATAAAAACATTTCAGACAAGAAAGACAAATGAGCAAAAGCAGAGTCAGGAAAGCATGGGACATATTTCGGAAGACGTGGGCAAAAACCATAATTAGATGTATAAAGTGGGAGAAAGCCTACTAAGTTAGCCTGTGTTCAAATTGGGAATACCCTGTATACCATTGTATGGAATTTGAACTTCGTATGTAAGTGGTGAGGAACCATTGGAAATTGGCATAACTTCATTCACCTGTCAGCAACTTAAAGAGAAAATAGAGACAGAGATGTCAATGAAAATTAGGACATTAGGTGCAATTGAAGTCTAAATTAGGGTGACAGTGATGAAGAAGTTAATGACAGATATTTTAAAAGTAATAACAAGTCTTGGCCACTCTTTTTTAAAGTGTCACATTAGTCATTTTTAAGTGGTTACATTATATTCCTAATGAAGAGATGGTGCTAGTAAAAAGAACTTTTTTTTTTTTGGTCTTTTTGAGACAGCATCTCTCTATGTAGTTCAGGCTGGGCTTGAGCTCACTTTGTAGTGCAGGCTGGTCTCACACTTGTAACTATCCTCCTGCTTCAGCCTCCCAATTACTGGGATTACAGGTGTGCGCCACCACACCCAGCTAAGAACATTTTGACAAGCTGGTATTCTTTCTTTGCAGTTCATGTGCCTGAGCACTTGCAGTGCAAAAATAGTGAAGTAAAATTAATTGGATATCATCTTCAAAAAGTTTCTGATAATGTATTTTAGAGGTTTATTTCATATAAGAATTGCAAACTAGAGATATGCTCCAAGAACAACAAGATGTTATTTTGGACTGTATATCTGTAGCGGCTTATATAGGCCTTTCCCATTTAATATTTGGGCTTAGAAGAGGCCGAGTGATGGCACAGTCTGAATGCCACTTTAGATTTCCCTAGGAGCCAATGTACAGTTCATTAATGTACTCCTATTTAATACGAGTGCATGAAATCCTATGAGCTGTCCTTATCGACTATTTAATACTATTTTAGCTGGTTTTAGCTGACTGCAAAAACTAATACCATCATTTGTGTTGATATATGATGCTCGTCTTCACAGATTTGGGAGAGACAGTCATGATTTATTTAATTATCTGAATATATATTATCTATAGATCATGTAGATACTTTATGTCACTGTTGATATCATTTCTTCTGGGTAGTGTTGACCTTCTATAATTTCTTACAGTATTTGCTTATATCGGCTCTAGCTCTGTAAGTTCATGGCATTTGAATTGTTTTCTGATTTTAAGATGGCAGAGTAAAGAAATTGTGCCCTCTTTTACCTGAAAATACCCTGAAATAACATGGAAAACGAGAGACAGGTGTAAAGAATCTTTTCTGAGAGAGTGCTGTAACCTCAAATAAATATTTGAGAAATGGCTCCCAAAGATACACAGAAAGAGGTTAAAGAGAATCCTCTTAGAAGGAGATCTTAGATAAAACTAGTAGAGCAAAGAAGGGCAGATCTGTTCTCAGTGAGATTAGGATACCTAAGAAGTCAGTGGGAGCTTCCTTGAATTGGCTGGTGACATGACCTAGCAAGAAAGAGAGAGACTGAGATCTCACAGACATTATCTTTGGAGATAACACACTCTTGCTGAGGCAAAACGGTCAGAAATTTTGAGTGCCCCTTTGCTATCTGCCTGCTTCTGACATCTGGAAGAAGTAATATTTAAATATTTTCTCTCACTTGTTCTCACACACATTCTTTCTCATGTACACATATGTACAAAGCATTCTTTCAGAAAGAGCTTTCTTATATAGCAGAGAATTGCCTTCTACTCTAGAACACACCCTTTTTTTTTCCTTGCACAGTACTCATGCAAATAACTGATCAGGGAGAGCTCATTCAAGATAAATAGTAATAAAAAGAAAGTGAGCACAGTATACAAACACACTACAAGAACAATGGAGAAAAGAAACAGGGAAGAGTAAGTGACAGTGAAACCATAAAACACTGTTGGCCTAAAAACAATTATATCTTTAAAATAAAAGACAAAGTTAATTGGTTCGATGCTAGGAAGAAGTAATAAGACAACAGTATACGATGACTCATAGTCTGGCAGAGTTCAGGAAAAAAGAGACAAAATGAGAGAAACAAAGGCAATGTTGGAGGCAGAAAAGAAAATTGGCAAGGTTGAAAACTCAGTAAAATATGATAGGCTTCAGTAAAGTGTGATGACAGGCTTTTTATAAGTTGAGCAAAGTGAAATATGAAAGACAGTAAAATGGATTATTGTAGTTTGGGAAATAGAGAATGCAGTGTTCTAAAACAAAAATACTCAAATGTGTTTCTTAAGAAAATTTTCCACTGTGGAAATCAGTGTGAAGAGTCCTCAAAAACCTAAGATTAAAGGTTCTGTTCAACCCAGCTATTCCCCTTCTGAGTATTTTCCCAGAAGAAGTGAAAACATCACACCACAGCAGTATATGTGCACCCATGTTCATAGCAGCACAATTTGTAATAGCTAAATCTTGGAAACAATCCAAATGCCCATCAACTGAGGAATGGATAAAAAAAATGTATTTGTATATGATGGAGTGTTACTCAGCTATGAAGAAAGATAAACTCAAGGCTTTTATAGGTAAATGGATGCAACTTGAGACCATACTCATAAGTGAAATAAATCAGACTCACATGTGTGAACACTGTATTGTCTCCGTAGTGTAAGAAACTGAAAGAGTGAAGAAGATCCGAAAAGTACAATAGATACAGTGAAAAGGAAAGAAACTGCTCAAAAGGAGAGAACAACTGAGATGGGGGAAAGGAGAAAAAAAGGAAGGATAAAAAGATATGTATATATACACAAGATAGCTAAGATAATTGTATTACTAATTTCTGTTAGTTCATTGAAAGGACCAGTTAGTCCTTATATTGTTAGATCAATTTTGCATGCCTGTATCTGGTAATCTGAGCAACTGCTTTGAAGATAACAATATGCAATATAATAACCATTGTGAATTTCCTATCACCTTGTTTTGAAATTCTGTATCATTTTTATTGTTTTTTTCTCTCTTTAAAATAAAAAATAAAAAAAGAAAATTTTCCTCAAGAAAAATCTTTATTTTATGGATCAAAAGGACGTACAAAGGTTAAGGAAAATAATATATAGTCATCAACATCGACAAATCTAATTTAACAAAATTAGATTGGATTTCATAGGTAAAGAATGTTTGCATCCTTTCCTCATCCCACTAAAAAGATCACATTACCAATAGGTGAGGATGGAGAATAAGATCCTGCCAATGGAGTATTTCACATTACAGGACAATGGTACAAAGCTTGTAAGTTACCAGGTAAAATAAAATGTGACCTAGAAACTACACAGTTACTTAACAACTATTTTTGAACAGTGCAAAAACTCAAGGTAAGTAGTACCCTTAAGTTCTTTTTGATAAACTGCAAAAAGGTAAATACCAAATGAACAGAGAAAATACAGCAATAGGATTATCTGGGAACATTGTAGGAAAATCTGAGATTTATAGTTATGAAGCAGAACGGTTGCAAAGTAGATGTAGCTATTAAAAGTTAGGATTAAAATAGGAAAGAAGGCAGAAAGTATAAATTTGCCAATTTCTTATAGCTGGAAAGCAAAATACATTTGTAAAGCTGGACATCACATAGTAAAGGTGTTAGAATGTTTGAAGGAATAAAAGTAAACAATAGAAACCCTAAATACATTTAACCAAAATCAAGTATTAGACATATGTTTAGCATGCAGGAGGCCCTGGGTTCAAACCCCAGCAGCACCTCTAATCAAAAATTGGATAGGAGAATGGAAGAAGTAGTACTACCAAGTTAAATATTTTAACCCTAAAAACAATAATCAGAGATGGGACCTAAGATGAAAAAAAGAAAAATGTTCATCATGGCATTCTTTACACTTTCAAAAAGCTGAAAACAA